GATGCTGATAGTCTGTGAAAATATCATATCCGATAAGGTAGTATAAAAATTAAGTCTCAAAATAGAGGGATATCTAAAACGTTACAAGTCGGCTTGGCTTAAAAAAAAGGCGAGGTAACTGTTTTTCAATGAGCTTTAGTTTCATTCTCCATTGGTTCCAAGTATAAGGATGATATGTGGTGTGATGTGGTTACTATGGATGCATGTCACTTGTTGTTGGGTAGACCATAGCAATATGATAGGAGTGTAACTCATAAAAGGTAATTTAACACATATAGGTTCATGGGGTCAAAATTATGTTTATGCCTAACAAGAATCCAATTGTTTTTTAAGCTCGCGAGGGATAATAGTAAGTTGGTGTCATTATCCTGGTTTAAGAAAGAGATACAGGATTCGGGATTGGTTTATGTGTTGATGGGAAATGAAGCTAGAGCTGATGCGGTAGTGCCAAAGGCGGTAGTGTTTCTTATGGTAGAATTTCGTGATGTATTTTCGAAGGAGTTGCTTGAAGAGTTACCATCTTTATGAGATATTCAGCACCGGATCGATCTAGAGCCTAGGGCGATGTTGCCCATAGACCCCATTATAAAATGAGTCCTAGTGAGCATAAAGAGTTGAGGAGTTGCTTGTTTAGGGCATGCATGAGAGAGCTTGAGTCCTTGTGTCGTGCCTGCGTTGATGATGCCAAAGAAAGATGGTTCTTGACGTATGTGTGTAGATAGTCATGCCATTAACAAGATCATAGTTCGGTATAGGTTTCCTATTTCACGGTTGGATGATTTACTTAATCGGATCAATGATGCAATAATCTTTACAATACTAGATTTGAAAACTAGATATCATCATATACGCATTAGGTGGAGAGATGAGTGAAAGACGACCTTTAAGATGCATGAGGGATCTGTATAAGTGGTTAGTAATGCCGTTTGGGTTATCAAATACACCAAACACTTTTATGCGTGTTATGAATCAATCCTTGAGGCCATTTATTAGTAAATTTATTGTTGTTTATTTTGATGATATTTTGATTTATAGTGCTAACCTCGAAGTCCATGTTCGGCATTTGAGAGATGTTTCGACGATGCTTTGCGAGAGATAAATTTTATGCAACGATAAAAAAATATGTGTTCATAGAACCTAAGGTGCTCGTTTTTTAGGTATATCGTTTATGGAGATTCGGAGCTTTTATAGACTTGCCTTTTTTTACCAATGCTTTATTCCTCACTTCAACAACATTATGACCTCGATTACCGACTACATGAAGGGAGCAAAGTTTACATGGACTTAAGAGGCGGAAGAGGCATTTCGAAAAATTAAGACACGATTGACGTCCGCCTCGATTTTAGTATCGTCGGATTTTATAAAACCCTTCGAGCTACACAATGATGTATCGAAATTGGGTATTAGGGCGGTGTTAAGTCGAGCGATAGACCAATGGACTACTTCAATGAGAAGCTATCGAGTACGAAACTTAATTACGGTACTTATGATGTAGAGTTCTATGCGAGTGGTTCAAGCGATCAAGCATCTGAAGGTATTAGTTATTCCATAAGGAATTCATATTGTATAATGACCATGAGGTGTTGAAGCACTTACACAAGTAAGATAATGTCTCAGCTAAAGCATGCGAAATGGTCGTTTATCTACGGTAGTTCACTTTTGTGGTTAAATATAAGTTTGGGGTCACTAATAAGGTGGCGGATGCACCGAGTAGGAGGAATTACTTACCGATGTGCATACGAGTTAAGGTACATGTTTTAGATTTATTTTGTGATTTGCTTAATACTGATCCATATTTCTCTACTATTATGGAGAAGATTTACGTAGGGAAGAAGACGAATTCCTCTTACATGATGGATTCATGTTCAAGAAAAACAACTTTTTATTCTTGATTGCAGTTTGCGTATGTAAATTATTAAAGAGTCTGCATAATGAGGGTCATGTAAGGCGAGACGGAACATTACAAGCTGGTTCAAGGTTCATACTTTTGGCCTACCATTTGGAAAGAAGTGGATAAGTTTATGTAACGTCGTCAAATCCGCAGTGTCTAAAAATGCAGCTACTAACATCGAACTTTACATGTCATTACCTGTGCCTTCTCGGCCTTGGGTGGATGTCGGTATGGATTTTACTTTGGATATACCCCGAACACGGCGAGGTAATGATTCCATCTATGTGGTTGTTGATCTTTTTCTAAGATGCTTCATTTTATTCCTTGCAAAAGATGACGGATGCTTGTTAATGTTGCTTGTCTTTATTTTCAAAATATGTATCGTCTGCATGGTCCGCCTACCCATAGTTTCGACGGGGATATAAGGTTCCTTATTTATTTTTGGCATAGTTTATGAAAGATGGTGAACACGTAGTTAAACTTCAACGAGTACTTATCATTCATAGATAGATGGACAAACCGAAGTTATCAATCGATTTTTGAAAAACTTACTACAATATCCGGTTGGTGGTCTTGTCAAAAGTTAGGATCGAAATTATGCCAAGCTGAGTTTTCTCATAACCATGTTATGAACGGGAACATAAGATTCAATCCTTTCTAGGTAGTGTATTCCGTAATGCCATATGGGCCTTCGAACTTGATGTCACTATCGAGCAAGATAAAGCTTCATGGTAAAGTAGCCGATTTTATGACAAGACTGTAGGAGGTTCATAAAACTGTTCATGATAACTTGACTCGGTCTTATGCGAAGTATAAAGTAGCTGCAGATAAAAAATATCGCCATGTCGAGTTCGAGGAAGGTGACTTCGTGTGGGTCGTCCTCACCGAGGATCGTTTTTTTGTTAGAGATTACAATAAATTGGCAACAAAGAAGATTTGCCCTATGTAGATAGTTGAGAAGATTAATCCCAATGCATATCTCCTTAAGTTGCCTAGTCATATTCGTACTGTCGATGTGTTCAATGTCAAGCATTTGATACCCTTTCATGGTGACTCTTCGATGATGATGATGCGGTCAATTTGAGGTTGAATTTGCTCTTTCTTGGGGGGAACGATGTGGACCAAAAGGCCTTGGAATTCATAGAGCGACACGATAGAGGATGGTGATGCGATTTGGGATTTTTGGCTTGATTTTGAGGGTTTTTTGATCTAATTTGATGCCAAATGGGCCTACGATCAAAACTCATCGACTTTGCCTATGAAGTAGGGGTGATTTTGGAAAAAAAAATGATGTTTAGGCCTTCAAAATTGCAATTTATTGTTTCTACGAGAATTTCTTTAGGGTTTTGCACTAAAATTTACTATTTATGTAAGATTTTTAGGCGGAAAAACACCACTTTTGCTTGATTAATAAACTTTTACGAGAGAATATCTCGGTTTTTCAATTCTTGGTATTCTTTGAATCAACGAGTTTGAAGCCTATTTCTTGGTATTTGTGTATGCAATTCAACGAGGTTGCGGTAGATTAGTATTTGGACTTCGGATCAATAGTATTTATCATTTTCTTGTGAATTTCTACTATGTCATTTAGCAATTAAGGTTGATGAGTAATATTATCTAATTATCCCTACTTGTACAAGTCGCAACTGGAATGTTGCTCTTATTGGTTATAGATTTATGATAGAAACACTATTAGGGAGGATTTACTAATTAATAAAAGGGATGATATTGAAATTCACAATAGAAACTGCTAGATATAAGAATTTTGGGAAAATAAAAAAAAATTGAAGAAATATATTTCATATAGTTACATAGAGAAAAAAAGATAAAGAAAGATGAGGAAGGTGGAGAAGAAGAAGAACATGGGGTACTACAAAAGAGAAAGTAGTAAAAAAAAAAAAAAAAGAGACTAATATGTGATGATAAAACATTTATTTGACAAAGTGATTTTTTTTAAAAAATAAAAACTAACATGTTAATTTATATAAATGAGATTGTTCATATCCGATATTTAGAGTATTTTAATTGGAGAAATAAAGTTAAAGCTATCCTATTATGAAAAATAAAATTTAAAAATATCTTATTATGAAAAAAAAAATCTCTTAAAAGTAGTATTCTCAAGCTATAACATGCTAAAAGAGGTGAGATTGTTTTGTCTTAAAAAAATATATCGACAACCATCAATTTTATCATTTTTTAAAACTTAATATAACAAAAAATTATGAATTTTATAATTTTTAATCATATTAGCGTGTTTTTTAATTTAATATAGAAATGTCATGAACTAAAATTTCAATTACTATATTAACATAAGTAAATTTTTTCTGTTTAAATTTCAACTAAACCTACGGTGTTGTGTGATGAAATATGACAATATGACTAAATAGTTTTTATTTTTCTCCAAATGATATGTAATTCAAATTATGGACTATAAATGAATTTTATAAATATCCGATATATATATATATCAAACAAGGAACAACCCCTCTCCCCTCCGCGTTGTTGAGAAGAGACAAAAATCCAGAGACTAAAAAAAAAAAAAAATCCACCTTGTAAAATGCATTGTCAAGTATGGTAAACGATGGGAAAGGGTGAGTAGCACGTGCAAAAACGCGTAGATGCACAAAGAAGAGGAGAAATCCTTGGTTCCTAGAAATTAACCAACAGATCTTAGTTTCCCGGCCACTGCCCCGGCCGCAATCTGCTCTAGCTTGAGCACGTGTGAATCACTCTCCAACTATTTTCCTACAACCACTCAGCGTTCCCATTTTACCACCAACGTTACCTGGCAACTCCTTTCACCTGCTTAATTCAAAATTAACATAACATCCACTTGGCATCACCTAAATGGATAGTCCCATTTTCTATTTGCTTCCTATCATTTCTAATTTTGGTCTATAAATACTTGGCACATCTCTTTCATTACCTCCATGCAAAACCAGGAATTCAGGTCCAAAATTCTCACCCTTCAAGCGATTTCATTTGCCTTAATTTGCCCCAGCTAGAAGTGATCGCAAACAAAATGAGCCCAACAAATTTCCATGATCACCAACCAAGGATCAACAATATCATGCACCCACCACCCTTGAAAGTCAACAAACACTCTCACATGATCAAAAAATCTTCTTCGCCGTCGTCGTCGTCGCCGCCCTCATCATCTTCATCCTCCGCGTCTTCGCTGGGCATTGCCGGCTCTGCCAAGCCCCCGCAATGCCAGCCGGTGATCATCTACACTCACTCGCCAAAAATCATCCACACAAATCCTAAGGATTTTATGGCATTGGTGCAAAAACTAACGGGTTTATCACGGTCCGAGGACGATCCCATCCCTCAAGTAAAGCACGAGAACGGTAACAGGGTACTGGCCAAGGAGGAAAGTAAGAACGTGAAGATTGTTGGTAACGATGACAATGAATCTTCTTCAGCGATTACTGATGAGAATTGTGGGAGCATAGGTGATGGACAAGTTAATTCTTGTTTTATGCCACCTATTTTCCAGCCACTAAATCCTAATTACATAACAAATATTCCAATTTTTACACCTAATTCTGCGGAGTTTCTACGTGCAAATCAATCGTTTTATAACTATACTGATCCTTTATTTTTTCCTTCTCCAAATATGAGGAATTCCATCTCAACAACCTCTGCCTTGGAGGTGAAGAATGAGTTCTGCGGGTATTAATTTTTTTTTCTTTTTTTTTTGGTTCTTTTTTTTCATTTTTTTTTCCCTTCTGATTTTGGAGAGAATACAATTTTTGGCAGATTTTTTTGTTTATTTTTTAATGCCGATAAAAGTTCTGATAGCTATTCAATTTTTTCAATTTCAGGAATAAATTTTAATGATGTTTCTTTTGTTCCTTAATTAGTTGAGATTTGTTATTGTTGAGAATTAATTAATGTCTGTAACCTCTTTACCACACTTGCTTCATTAAGGAAAAATGGTGATATATATATATTGCAAGTACTACCTGCTTGTATGTTCGTTTCATTTTTAACGTGTGGTAATTAATCAATGTTTGATTATTTGTGTTCATGTCTGAAAAAATGTGAAGAAAATGATATCTCCATATTGAAAGTTTTACGTGTGTTTCAAAAAAAAAAAAAAAAAACATTAATTAGTTAAGGAGTGTCAAGAGAATGATATGGTGACGACGACAACTCAATTAGGATAAGCAGCTATAATTCCAAAATTTTACAGCAAGAATGCATGGCATTTCAATTAATTTTACACTTGATTTTAACTTCTTAGTAAACAGATCAAAGTGAAAGTTACCGTTAGAAAACAATATTGTTGAATCAAATTACGTATATGGATAAGAACGCGTGTACACATATAGAAAATATTTGCTGTTACAGCCCACCGTAAATCTTCTCTTGATAAGATGACAGAGATTCAGAATTCGGATTCAGATTTTGAAGCGATTACAAGTGCGCCTGCAAGCTATTCAATTACCAAAATAACGGGGAAATTAAATCATTTCTTGCTGTGATGGTTTAGAGTTTTAGATTGCTCAGCTAAGATACCCAGATGTTGGAGCAGAAAATGGCACGTCGAATTCATTGAAACTTGAGAAGTTCTTTGTTCAGGAAAAATATGACACTTTAATTTTTTTTTTCCTTCTTCCTTGACTGAGATTTACACTCGCACAGGAGGTTCTGGGGAAACATAACTGTACATGTACATGTTTATACTGGTACATATATATAAAAGGAACACCATTACTTCTTCTTTTTGTCCTCCTTTTCTCTTTCAAGAACTACAGGAGCTGCCGGTATGCTGAACCACCACTCTCTGAATCTCCTTGTCCATCTTTCTGTGCTTGCTTTCCTTGGAGGTGAATATCTTGTAAATATCTCTAAAAAAGTCAACAGAGTAATGTACTTGCTGGGCACGAAAGCCATGATCAAAGCAACACACAGTAGACTGAGCGCAAATTTTTCGCTTGCCTGGTAATTACATAAACACCCAAAAGCAGCATGCACTTTAGTAATTCGAAGTTTAACTTGAACAGAACATGGAAAAACGACGAGTAATTATACCCCTGATGCACTTGTGATTTATGACATATGAAGAAGGTAAAAATTAGAAAAGAGAGAACATGCTAGCCTGAAAGGTGAAGAATGACAGAATAACCTGTGGGAAAATAGACAACAGCAAGGCACGGAACTTGAGGAGGATGATGTTTCCATCCTGGATGGCCTGTTCAGCTTGAGAAATAGCATTCTGAACAGCTAAAAACTGCTCCACTGTGTTCATTGGTGGAGGTGCTATTACCTTGAGTTCATCAGGAGACTGGCCTTGGTTACAAAATCGTGTAAGCACCATAAAGATAGCAAGAAAGATGGTCATCAATGCAAAGGCATAGCCCAGCCATCCCCTGAAATGCAGATTCAGCAAGTCCTTGTGAAGGGGGAAAAAAAAACTGTGTAATATTGTGGAGAAATAGCCCAACACTGATGAGAAGTCTCTCCGTTTCAGGAACTACCTTCTCAGTCATGTCACTTTCTCTTTCAATAACTGGGAATGTATATGCGCTTATGTATATATCACCGTAGATTTCTTTGTCTATTGCCTTCTCAGAAATACAATCAAGAAAAGAAATTTGCATAATTGCACGTAGGTCCTCGTCTAACATCAATATGCTTGAGATTTTGATAAATGATTAGATATATTGCTAGCTAATATTTCAGAAAGATCCACCCACAAATCATATTAGCACATTTCTCAAAGTAGCTTTGACGGTTTATGAAATCAGATAGGAAAATGTGGGAGAAAGCTAGCGAATGCCTCTTTCTGAATCAAACAACTGCAGTCACATCAGTATTTACATATTGGAAAAACCTCAAGGAGACCAAGAAAAAAAAAAAGAAAAGAAATGGAGTTTGGAAATTACCATATATTCAAATCTCATAGAAGGAAAATTTAGTATGGCTACCAAATCTGAATTTTTTTTTTTTTTAAAAAAAAAAAACTACACTATTCAATCTTCTGTTGCTGTGGATAATAATATAAGCCCATTCACAAGATGATGGGTCAGTAACTGTGCTGTTCATGTTCCATCCAAACAAAATCCCAGTCCCAAACAGCTCAACTGGGGCAGTTTGGAAGTATTTGGATTACATACAAAATTATCGTTTGATTCAATTGCTAATATAGTTGGCCAAATTTCATTTGTTTTTATGATGAAACTAGTAGCAAAGATGAAATTATGATGAAGAACCTAAAAATTTGAGCTAGAGTAATGCATTTAATGAGGTAATTCCAAATCAAAAGTAGAGAAAAAGAACCTTTTTTTTTTTTTTTTTGGAGATTGAAAGAGATTGTTATTAAGTTAGACACGATTTCGTTTGTTTTTTTATGATGAAATTAAAATGAAGAACATAAAATTTTGAGCTAGGTCCAAATCAGAAGTAGAGAATAAGGTGTTTTTTTTTTATTTTTTATTTTTTGAAAGAGATTGCTATTAACTTAGGCACGAGTTTTTATACAGTTATACAGACAAGCACATACTCAGCCATATATAGTACATTGATACTAGACATTAAATATATATGTCTAAATACGCATATGCAGCACAGACTTCAAGCAAAGTTGATTGGTTTGGGGGGTCCAGACTGATTGACACACACCAATACGCTAAAACAAGTGATAAGTCATCCAAGTATCGTTAATTACGCTAAATGAAAGAATTCAAAACCATAAAAAAAGAACAGTTACACCATGTGTACTATCATGCCAATCTAATGGACCCATTTCCTATTGGAAAAGTTCCTTAAACAGTAAAAATCGAACTGAAAAAAGAATAATTTGGTTTAAAAGTCCAAAGGGTAGGCAAATAAGGGAAAGGCTAGATGATTTAATTCTAGGTAATCCTGCAAGCAATTCAACAACATAGGACATCTTGCATTCATAGCTTTGATCATCTAAAGGGAGCTTTTCCTAAGAAATTAACATCTCAAATGCACCATTTATTGCAGCTACATATAACCAGAGATTTCCATCCATGTTTAATCCTTTAGCCATTTATATAAAACTACCAACAACAGTGTTGATAAGCAAAAACTTCACTACTATTAGGAGTAGGACAACTTGATGATTTTGTGTCATTATGGTCTCCAAATAATCATACATTTTTACTCGAGCACGGCAGTAATAATGATGTAATATCTGTCTTACCTTGAAATGACAAAAGTGAGAACCAAACAAAACACCAAAGACTTCATAGGGTCATCCCAATGTATCAAGGAAACAAGCCACTTCCCAACTTCCATAACAGGGAGAAGTAACTCCTGCAAACAACAGATGTTTACAAGGAATATTAGAAAGATTATTGAAGGTACAATCTGAAAGAGCTTAAGAAAATGGCCTATTGTAACAACATGAAACTCACTATCTTCTGGGCAACTCTATTTCAAATAATGTGAACAGCATAAATGAATCAGACACAAAAATGACATCTCTAATTCCACTAGAATAGACAGAGATCATTTACAGTTCTTAGCCTTGTCAGCAAACAGATACTCTCCATTTCCAGTCATTCTAATGTTTTCCCTTGATATCAATAAAGAAAAGGAAAAGAGAGAAACAAGAGCACAAAGTGTGCTTGGTAAAATCATTAGCATCACCTTCATTACCGCCAAATTGGTATCAATGCCATCTACTTTAACTTCGTCAACTGTTTCTTGAGCTAGTACCACTTTTTTGTAGCTGTTTCGAGATTCCTTAATCACCTTCTCCAGTGAACTCATCTCTCCCACAGCTACCTCACCAACAACAAGCCCAGCCTCATTCAGATCACTTGAACTTGTTCCTAGCACAAAACCTAAATTGGAAACCATGGCCAAGGAAGAGATTGAATACATCCCACCTCCAGCATTATAACTGTTGGTCCGATCTAACTCCCTTAAGGAGGACATGTTTGCGAGGGTTTCCAGTATCAAATCTCCACCAGGAAGTTGATCACAAAGATTAAACATGAGAAGAGTTTCACAGCGAAGAGAATTTACAGAACTAATTTCTTGAATTGCTTGAAGTCGTAGAATTCCAAGTACAGCCTTTGAAAGGGCTTCATCCCTTTCAACTCCAGAGATCTTGAACTTTTTTATAAATCTGTGAACATATAGAACTTCTCGGATAATTGCTAACCAGTAATCACGGCGAGTATGTCCTTTAAGCTCAGGAAACTCTATGACGGCTGGCTCTGATCTACAAGAGAATACTAAAGAGGTTAATGCTTAAAAAGTTCTCAAAAGAATCAAACGAGACAGTACCCAGATTCCAGCATATATAACTCTGAAACATATATTTCATCCATGGAAAGGAAAACAAATACGATCATGTCTTACAAGGAAATAGATTTATACAAGACTGCCTTGTCAAAAAGACGGGTACCCCATGGCCCAGTCAACTCAGATTTAACAATCTGTTTTAGGTCATCCGACAAATCATATATTTTCGGCTTGTCATAGGATACAACACGGAGAGCTTCAAAGTACAGTGCATGATCAGTGAGAGTTAGCCGACCTGTATGCATATGATAGTAAATAGAAGAAATTAGGCAAATATTGCACAGCATATAATTATCAGAAGTCAAGGGAAATTTTACCATCTGTCTATGTCAAAACCTCTTTAGAATGCATGTTTGCACTTTGCCTTAATTTCCTTTTTCCAGAGAGAAATAAGAAGGGAAAAAATAAGATGGATCTACCAAATTACTTATGCAATGAACCTACCTGGCCATGTAGATATTCCAACATGTTCAAGAACTGGTTGGGTTGTCACTGTTCCATCTAACTCTAGAATCTTCTCCCTTCTTGACAATCGTACTGTAGAAAGGAGTGATGAATCTGATTGGGTCTTCATCTTTTTTATTGCCCTGTAGAAAAGACGAACCCAAAATGTAGAAACTGGATGTATGTGTTTACATGGCATAACATTATAGCTTTAAAAAGACAGTCCTACTGAAAATAAATTGCCATTGGAAATTACATAATCTTTACATCAAATATTATGACATTTGCAATCAGGTATAATTTAAAGAGAGCATACTGTAGGTTGTCAAAATGGAAACTAAACCCAAACTGTAAAGCCATTTCTCAATTAAGCATCATCCTAGCTCACAAGGTTCAGTCAGCTTTCATGGAGACAACTAACAAGATCCAACCTGATATATTCTAGAGATTGACACGATAAGGAGAAAAAGAGGGGGGAAAAAAGCAGCAGCCACTCAAAACAAGCCTGACACTCTAATAAAATCTCCATGCAAAATGCAACCATAAGAATTATTTGCTAGCTGATCTAGCTTTATGTTTCACCTAGTAGAAATGGATATTTATGGCCTTCCCTAGACATAAATTTGAAGAAGGGGTTGTGAGTTAGGTAGTGTGCTTTCTTGATAATCCATATTGTCTCTTTTTGTATATTTTGAGATGTTGTCTCTTCCCGTGTGTGTCTGTGTGTTTGCAGCAGAAGTGGAAAAAAAATCAGTTCCAGAGGAGAAAGCAGACAGAAAATAATAATACGGAAAAAAATAAAGAATACAGAGCACTCTAGGAAAACCTAAAAGGTAAAGAACATAATAAATATAGAGGGAAAAAAGTATTTCTGCATTGCTGGTTTGGCAACTATGTCATAAAGTGACAAGTGATCATATTGCATGACAAAATAAAAGCAATCAAAGGAACTTGTTGGAAACAATGTACTATACACCCCATCAGTTAAGAAACAGTACCTTTCTAGTCCACTTAGGTACTTGTCATAGATGGAGAATTGAAGCCGGCCATCAGTTGCCAAAGTAAGCACCTCAAAAAGATTTTCACTGATAACCACATTGGCAATGATTGGAACTGCTGGAGCTATTCGAGAGAAGGCCTCTAGACCAACTGTTAAGTCCTCATCTATCTGAAAGGAAACGGCATCCATAGATACCCACATCAACAGTAAGATACATACAAGTACTAAAGGCACCATAATTTCCAAAGTTTACTACATATAATTACTCAATATTATAAACATTCAGAGGCCAGGGGAAAATGCAGATATTAGTAAAAAGCACACACAGCCACAAAACTCACACATGCATGAGGTGAGAGAGAGGGGGACGTGAGGGAGAGAGAGTGAGAAAGATTAAACCATTGTTTTTATAATTAAGAAAAGTAACATTCCAAATAGTTCAGAATACAGCACATGACAGCTCTGAAAGAATTCAAGCACCAAGAAGGCTTGCCAATACTAATCAATGGGCTCAATAAAGTGGGACTCTAGAGGAACTTCTAATTTAAGAAGATTAAATATTTTGTGTACAATACTTTCTGCCATTAATTCCATCACAGTGTTATACGCACACAAAGACTAAGATTATGGGCCAACACTCTATGTCTCTCTTGTAATGACTATATTAAAAAAATGTATAGATTAGATGCTTCTAAACCTTCTACAATATCTGTGCATGAACGGAGCAAGTGTGAACCTCCATTCCAAACTTGCTAAATGAATAAGGTCAGTGTAATTAAGCGGAAACTCTTACATTGATCAATGGTTGGCTAGCAGCTGCTGGAGTCTCCCAAGCTAGCATCATGTCATATGTTAACCGACGGAACTTTTTATCAGCTAGATGACCTGTTACTTGAGTAGATAAAGCCAGTGCTCTGAAGCAACAGTATTCCAAAAAGTTCCTCGCATAACGGGAAGGATGCTTTAAGGAATCACAAGCCTCTGCATTAAAGCTTTCTTGAAGCTCAATTGCAGAAACGCCAAGGATTCTGCATCATATTATTGCCCTTATCCATAAAGAGATGAAAATTGGAGTAGAAAGGAAATGCATATACTCTGAGTTGGTGATTAGACTGTCTTAAGTGAAAAGGAGACACTAGCATACAAGATAGTCCTATAGAAAGTCCATGCAGCAGAAAGTTCTCAAAATCCACTGGATCATAATTTGCACAGAAACTACAGCAAGAGGACAGAACTAGCATGAACACAAAAAGAGTAGCACAACTTACTTTGAGCATCTACGAACAACCACATTAGCAAGTGGAGAGAGCTCAGCTATCCAATTTCTGCCAGCTGACGGAGATCTGTCCATCTCCTCGAATTCTTCATTAAAAGAACTTCTCTTTCCAAGTAGCCATTTAAATGATCCTTCTCTTACCAAACCCTCAAGCACGCTTCTAGTTTTGCTTACTGTAGGGGTAGCCATCTCTGTTTTTCAACTCACTATATGATCAAAGTGAAAATAGACCCAGTGCCCAGTTGCCCATCAAAATCATTTCATCCAATAACATTCCACCAAAATCCTTCCAATTCAGCAAATATACGTATTGAACACAAAAACCTCAGCAAAACTATTTATTACTCGTTTAACTCTATCCAAATCCAGTTTCCAATATACAAATTCCCGGTTGCGCAATCTAGTCTGAACAACTCGTCAAAAACCCAGCACAGACTATTATCTTCGAAACCCAGATACCAAATTCACCAACAAACTAACTCAAAAACCCTTCTTCAATTAATCACCAGACCACATCAATCCCTTGAACTAAACTCAAAATCACATCTTTAAAAGGTAATTCTATCAATTCTTACAACTATTGTCCTAAAATTAAAGTACCACAATCTTTATATCAAAAAAATGAAGAAGAACAATACCATAGCAAAAGGAAAGTGTGCCTTGACATCCAAAATTCTCTGAAAATCGGCAAGAGCTGCAGAACCTCACCTCAGATTAAGTTCAAAGAACCATTCCACAAGAACCCATTTCGCCAAGAAAATTAAATTCGACAAAAAAGAAAAAGAAAAGCAAAGAAGATAAGCACCTTCTAGTTCTACAAAAAGTTGTTTATTGTCAGAGATGATTCTATCTTTAGAGGGGCGAAAAAAGGCAGAATTCTATTTTATATTTAAATGAGAAAGAGAGATGTAGTAAGAAGAATCGCTATCCAGACACTCAATCTGTGTTTGTTGAGCTCACGTCACCAAACCTGTCCGCCGTGGAGTAAATTATAAATTAGTTACTCAGTTTTGGGAAATAAATAAATTAATTCTTTCAAAAAATATTTATTAAGTTATTTTTAATATTAATTATGTTTAATTTAATATTATTTTATTTAAAAACTAAATTTTTTTCTCATTAATTTTGATTTTTTTATTTTTAAAAATAAAAAACAAAACAAATTAAAAAAGCACAAAATAATAAATATAATTAAATAATTAATTTTTTAAAATAAAAAAAATAATTTATTTATTTATTAAAACTAGAGAAACTAATTTATAATTTACATCCAAGATAAGATGAGTAAATTATAAAGGTTTTAATTTTAATTTAGCTCGAAGTTAAATTCAGTTTCTCTCCTTGAAGTTTTGCAAGGTCTCTCAGGTTTCAATATTGAATCAACTAATAATTTTTTTTTAATTTCTAAAATTTTAAACTTTGATCAAATATATATATTTTTTAAATAATTTGATGAGATTAAATCTTTTATTTTCAATTAAAAAGTCATATATCGTTTATATTTAAAAATAAATAATAAAAAAATAATAAAACACATATCAAACTAAAAATAATATCCGAAGATAAATTTTAAATTATGGAGCTCATTAAATATAATCAATTAATTGTCCGATTTGTTTTTGTTATATGTCAGGCACTAATGACGTCCAACTATCAACATAAATTGGATTAATTAAATATATTGATGTTTTGTTAGTTTATGATTATATCCTCTTGGCAATTTATTTATTTATTTATTATTATTATTATTTTGAGAATCAGGCTTCTTAGTTTTAAAGCTTTAATCATTTGTGGTCTTCTTAATTTAATCGTTTTTCTAATTTTTAAATTACTTTATGTTTTTTCTTTGTTTTCAATATAAACATATTAAAAAGGTGGGATAACTTTTAATTTTTAATTTTTTATTCTTAAATATAAATAATATATGTTTTATTATTTGAATTTTTTGATTGAAATAGAAGATTTGGTCTCATCAAATTACTTTTAAAGGATTTTATTTCAAAATTTTAGAGACTTAAAAATCTTTTTGTTTCTTTTGCTTTAAATAACTAGAAGGAGGACATTAATACGTGATTGAAACTTACGAGAGACATTGAAATAATCGAAACCTCAAGGAAAGAAATTAACTAGATTTACTTTCAATTTTAGGGAGTTAATTAAAATTAATCCAATTATAAATTAGTTACTCTAGTTTACAAAATGAATTAAATAGTCTCTCAAATTTTTAATATTAATTAATTTTTTTCTTGTTCATTGTGAATCATACTTAATTTAATATTATCTTGTTTAAAAAATATATTTTTTATCAATCTTTCCATATATGTGCTTTTTCTTGTTTTTTTTTCTTTTTGTTAAAAACATAAAAAAAAATTTAAAAAAAACATGAAATGAAAAAAAAAAGAATTATGTTACAAATAAATTTAAAAACATAAAGATTAATAAATTATGTTTTAAAATTAAAAGAGCTATTTAATTTGTCTTACAAAACTAGAGAAATTAATTTATAATTTACTCACAAAGTCCTTTCGTTTCTTTTCCTTGAGCTTTCTGCATCAAAAAATAATTTTTTAAAAAATTGGTTACACTTAAAGAGTTATTATATTCAAAACTGTTTAAAAATTAAAAGCTAAAATCATAAGCTACAGCTTACATAATAAAGCCTTTGAATTTTTTAAAATATCATACCATAAAAGCATTTTAACATCATATATTTTGATAAAAAAATAATTTATAACTATATCAATCGCAAATTCACAACTACTCGCAATTAAAGCTCCAATTAAAAACCATAACTACAAGTAAAATAAAAATCATCCATAGAAAAGTAGTTTTTATCATGTGAGCTAGCTTGATGACCACATTGATCGATCTAAGAGATTACATAGAACCCTTTTTCTTGAAATATTAAATAATATTTATCAAGGATACTGTTTATTTTTTTCTTTTTTGTTGGATTATAAAGATATTTTTGAAAAATTTGTGCATCAATTGAAACTAATTTTTTTTAAAAAAATAATTTAAAAACACAACCTCTACATCTCTAGTGCATTTAAAGGAATATTATTATTATTTTGTTTTTGGAACCATAGCTTCAAAGTTTAAATTTAAAAAATTAAATAACTATCTTTAACTATCATACCAATCATTTGAGGTTAGGCCACTATTCATTAAAATAGTTCACGCTTCTCTCTTGTAGCATATAACTAGTCACTTGTACCGCGCTACGCTCCGGATCCGATAGAAAAAAATCAATTTAAAATTTTAAAATTTTTTAATTATAATTTTTTATTTAATTAATTTTTTTATTTTTTTTAATAAATTTTTTGTTTAAAGAAAAACATAAATCATTCTTCCTTATGGATTGATTTTAAAACAAAAAATATAATAATTTTAACTAAAATATTAATCAAAAATTAAAACTTTTAAAATATAATTTTCATAATATTGTATTCCAAAAAATAAAGTTATAATTAATGGATAAACTTTTACAAAAAATAACAAATGAGAAAAAAATTCTTATTTAATGTTGATGAGACGACTAATTTTTGAAATTATCCGCGCAATAATATGAGTAGATAGAACAAAATCATTTAAAAATTTTATAATTTTTTCATTAATTTTTTATTTACTTATTATATATATATATTTTGCTTTTCCATAGAATTTCGCCTAAAAAATGATTTATTCTTTTTTTATTTAGGAATTCTTAAATAAAAACTTGTAATAATTTAAACCTTAAATATTAATTAAGAATTCAAAAGCAAATACTTTAAAACTATATATTTTTTTATAAGAATGTATCAAAAAAATAAAGTTACAATTAATGTATAGACTTGTATAAAAATTAATGAATGAAAAAAATAAAATTTTAATCTTATTTAATATTGGTGAGAAGATTTTTTTTTTTTCAAACATATGCATTAGATCTATATATATTTATTTACAAAATAATCAACACAATTAGCATAAAAAACTGTATTTAAATAATTAGTTGGTTCCTTTAAAATATTATTTTAATTTTTTATTTCCAATAAATTGGTTCTATAACGTTAAAAAAATATTCAATTTAAATAATTTGTATTATATTGGAAGATATATAGTTAATTTTAAATAAAATCAATGATTCAATAGTTTTTTTAAATATCTTGACCATATCTAGTGAACTCGAGATAAATTATTTGAAATACACTTTTAAGATTTTAAAATAAAATAATAATGTATTTATATATATGCAACTATCATTTAAAAATTTTCAGAATTCATGATATATATTATACTAATTTATTTTTTAAAAAGAAAAAAATCATGTCTTAAAATTTTATTTTAAAAATCAAACATAGAGAAAAATAAATTTTATTTATTAATAAATAAAATCTTATATAAAAAATATTAATTGGATGAGAATTTTCATAAGAAATGATAAATTCAAAGAATGAAATTTAAATTATAAGAGTAATATAAGCCAAAGTATATGTTAATTTTAAAATATAAAAAGATAGTATATATATGAAAACCCATAATAAACAAATTTTAATATAAAATTTAAAATAAACTAAAAAATATTTTTAAAAAATTAAATAGTAAAATATATATTGAAGTTAATAGAGTACAAGTAACAACTATAAACTGATTTCTATAACATTTTATATATTAAAAAATAAGAAAATAAAATACATACATTTAATTTTTAAAATTTGATTATATAAGAATTAAACAAATAAAAATATGTATAAAAAAACTTATTTGAATTCATGCGTAGAGAAAATAAGTCATATTTATTCATAAATAAAATTATATAAAAAATAAGAATAAAAATTAACTTAATGAGAATTTTTGTTGAAAAAATCAATTTTAAACAATAGTAGTAGTTTATTTATTCTAAAATCTTAAAACATATCATAAAAAATGTTCAAAATATTGTGTGTGTGTGTGTGTGTCTATATATATATATATATATAATAGTCACTTTGTGTTAAAAAAAAAAGAATAACGATTGATTTTTTAAAATTTTAACACCTATTTAAATACAAAAAAGAATATAAATTGATGAAAAAGAGCAAAGGAAAAAAAGCATGTGTAGTACACAAGTTCAAGGGATTAAAATTTTTATTTTAAAATTTTAGAGATCAAAATAAAATAATTTTAAAATTTTAAAAATTAAATTAAAAAAACCTAAATTGATGAAAAAA